TCATAATTATTCCCGTTTTTCCCATGGTAATGTCTATTAAAAGTGCCCACAGCATCTGGCCTATATTTGAATGACTGAGAATACAAATTTTTAAATCTAGAAGCTTTTGAAGGGTATTTATATCTAAACAAAACGCCACACTAACAAAATGCTCCATCTTCAGAAGGTGAATATCTAAGCCATGAAAATTGTTTTAATGATAAAAGTTTTTAAAGATTGCCCATTTGTTTTTGGAAAAGAAGTTTCATCAAGAACAAAAACATTTTGAATCAAATTTTATATTTGTAAATCTTTCAAAGTAGAGGCCTTCGAACGAAACAACAAGTTAACAATATCTGATGATGAACATAGAATATAAGGGTCAATATTAACATTAAACATAATTTTATATTTTAGGAGAGAACTGTTCTATAGTAACACTAAACTCTTGTAGAACACACAGTTGAAAGAGCAAGAACACAAAGAAACACAGACCATAAAAATTCTTTACACATATGAAATGTTTCTTCCTTAACAAGGTCATTTTTTAATTTTCCTGAGTCTATAAAATGTGTGGATACAAACATTAAACTTGCATATATGTTTTCTTAAAGATGTTGTTTTTAACTCTGGTCTAAATAGCATTTGAATAAAGATATTTTTATTTTACGAGTGCTCATATTCATTATTACTTTTTTATTTTAATTTCTAATATATTTTTTGCGATCATTAAAAGAACTTAATAAAGATTAAATTCTAATTTTAAACCTGTTTTTTTTTTTTTTGACAGAGCATACAAACAATGGATGATTCCTGTAAAAAGAGGAATTTAAATATAAATCAATTGCTGTCAGTATTCTTAAATCCATTGCCAGACTATTATCACTACACAAATAAATCCAAAATGAGCTAAATAAGCAATTGTCAGTTGATTCAGCTGAATCAGATCTGATCAGATCTGTAACAGAGCTGTACCTGATCAGAGCTGTAACTGATTAATGTAACTGATCACTGTAACTGATCACTGTAACTGATCACTGTAACTGATCACTGTAACTGATCACTGTAACTGATCACTGTAACTGATCAGAGCTGAAACAGATCTGATCAGATCTATAAAAAGGCCAATTAAAATATTTTAATGTAAAAAAAATTCTACAATAAGCTCAATGAAAAATAAAATTGGATTTAATCATATATTTACAATAAATCAGTTAGGTTAAAAAGTTGAACCAATTAGATCATAGCAAAAAATGTATTTCATAATATTATTACTATATAAATTTACATCCCCAGATGAAAGAACGCAGATAATATGTTTACAAATTTTAAATTTTAAATTTTTTATTTTACTTGTTAGGATAAATAAAGTAAATCTTACTTCACCGCCTAGTTGTTCTTGACTCTTTATTGACTTATGAACAGTCAACAACTGATAAAATTCTGACTTATAAAGGAGATTAATCTTTACTGACAATTCTGAATAAAGAGTTTGTAAATTTTCAATAAATCCATTTTCAAGCAAATACCCTTACAGATTGTAAATGCATGCCATATCAAAAATTATTTAAAAGTTATTTAAAACATTCAAAGAATTATTGTTAGAAAAGGTTTTCTTTAAATTAGTCAGGGGGCAATCATCATATACTTAATTCGACTAACTTGGCCTGAAGTTACGCTACCAAACGACAAAAATAAAACAATTTAAAGTACTTTAACAAGTTTTTAAAATCTCGTCAGCCGAATAAAAGGGCCAGATAATTCGCAAGATTTTTTCGACTAACTTGGCCTTAAGTTACGTTACCGAATAGTAAAAATAAAAAAAAACTTAAAGGATTTTAATAATTTTTTGAAATCTCGTCAGCCGAATAAACGGGCCAGATAAGTCGCAATATTTCTTGACTAACTTGGTCCGAAGTTACGCTACCGAAAAAAAAAAATTACAAGACGGGGCTATTGCGTGCGCATATACTTATCATAGTTTAATTGGTATTGCTGTTTAGACCAAAAAAAAAGAGATTTTATTTAATTACAAAAATCTCAAAAATATATAACATGTTTCATTAGCCTAATCGTTGTTTAGTTTAGTAAAAAAAATGTTAGTCAATGCGCCTAACAAGACTAACCCTAAACCCGCCCCTGTGTATCAATTTGACGTGCAGTTATTGTAGAATTCGAAGCTTGTCTTTACAAATTTTGTCTATCATGGTCATTTAAAGTTGATGGACGTCCGTCACTATGTTTTATTCCATACATATGATGACTATTTTCGTAATTTCTAATCAAATTTGGCTGCGTCCAATGCAGTGGGAACATTCTATTGAAATAGGTGGCCAAAAATATAATCGTTCTTTTTATGTGGATATTAAGTCTTAATTGAGTATAATAGAGACTTATTATAAAATTTTGTAATTTTGTGTTTAACCAACTCATAGGCGCAGCAAGGAAGGAAGAGGGTAAGGAAAATCCACTTGAGCGCTCGGGGCGTTAGTTGAATTTTTTATGTGATATTTTCGGACATGGTTTAAATAATGGATGATTTTGCAATTCTACAAACTTGTTATGTTCATGCCTAAGTCAAAATATAATTTTCTACAAAACAATTTCGGTGATTGAAGCCCCGGGATCAATAATACCCCAAAAAGTTAGCCCCTCCCCCTAATGAGGGCAATGAGTCCAAAAAATTTGCTGCCATTTAATACTAAACTTAAATTTAATGACAGGTTTTAACTTTCATTGAATAATCTTTTATTTTCTCTTACGATCGTATAAAGTTTACAACCCCCTCAATTTGAAGAGGGGGAAAACTTGATTATAGTTACAACAGTTATATCATTCAAACTTCAACAGATTGTTAAATGAGAATTAAAATCTGTTATTTTAATTCTCAACTACTACTAATAATAAAACTAATAATAAAAAACAACTAATGAATAAACTTTTGGGAAATTCTCTTTTCCAACCTCCAATGTTTGAACCGAATTACTGCGATTTCTTTAATATTTTACTTACTATTTTTATATACTTGATAAATTTACATAGTAGGCAAGCAAATATAAAGTTATACATTATTCAGATTATACAGTTTAGAATTTTATTCTACTACATTTATATCTAATTCTAGATTTTCGTCAACCATGTTACAGGGTTATTCATTCTTACATGCGCGTCTTTTCATTTTTATATGCGCCTTTATTCATTCTTATATGCGCAAATATTGATTTTTATATGCGCCTTTATTCGTTCCTTTATGCGCATTTATTCATTTTTATATGCGCATTTATTCATTCTTATATGCGCATTTATGCATTCTTATATGCGCATTTATTCATTTTTATATGCGCCTTTATTCATTCTTATATGCGTTTTACAAAAGCAATTGTAAAAAAGCAAAAAAAAAATCATTTAAGCAATTTGTAAAACAGTTTATTTTTTCAAAAGAAATTTTTCTTATTTTCAGGTAAACGAGGTTAAAAATACTTAAAACGAAGACTTTTTACATTCAACTATGGTTTATTTAAATTAGTATTAGTTCTTTGTTTTCGACGATAGTTTATTTAATTTAGCACAAATTAAACTTTCTTACCACAATTTGCAGGTTAGCAAACAACCATATGTGCTGTTAGTGTGCACATTACATCCAGTTTTACCCAAATAAATAAGTTTTTCATCTGAGGTTCCGTTTATTTTGCATGCGAAATAAACGTGCATATATAACTGGTGTTGAGTTTCGTTCTTCGGCACATGCACAACACGTTTTTTTGATAAATCTGAGCGTTTGAGTTTTCTTGAAATAGTAGACTGAGACATGTTGAAGCCTGCTGCAGAATGATATTTTTTTATTGCTTCTTGCGTGCAAAGATTGTTTTCTTGTACGTATAATTCGATAATATTTTTTATTTGAAAGTTTATAGGTCTTTTACCTCGTTTTTTTATCAGAAAACGACTTGAATGCAGTCATGTCGTCGAATTATCCTCTGTTTAACTTAACGAAACAATTTTTAAATTGTGCGCTTTGATAAATTGAGAGAAGTGGAAATGCTTGTTGTAGATTGATTTCTTTCAATTAAATGCTTAAGCATTTCAATGTGCTCTTTTGTAACATTTTTCCTTGTTTTACAATTGGTACTGCCATTTTCTATTCCATCCATAGGCATGTATAATTTGATATTAATAATAATTATAAATAATTAAATTTAAATCTAGATAAATGAATAATTAGATAAATAATAACTTAATCAATCAAGAAATTTAATAATATATATATAAAATATATATAAATATAATAATATATATAAATATATAATATATATATAAATATATATTTATATATATATATATATATAATATATAAATAATATATATAAATATATATATAATATATATAAATATATATTATATATATAATATATATATAATATATATATAATATATAATATAATATATATATAATATATATATATAATATATATATAATATAATATATATAATATAATATATATATAATATATATATAATATATAATATATATATAATATATATATTATATATATAATATATATATAATATATATAAATATATATTATATATATAAATATATATATAATATATAAATAATATATATAAATATATATATATATATATAAGTAATATATATATATATATAAATATAAAATATATATAAATAATATATATATAAATAATAATAAGTTTACAAAGAATTAATACTAAATTAAATAAACTATCTTCGAAAACAAAGAACTAATACTAATTTAAATAAACCATCGTCGAATGTAAAAAGTCTTAGTTTTAAGTATTTTTAACCTCGTTTACCTGGAAATAAGAAAAATTTGTATTGAAAAAATAAACTGTTTTATCAAAACAAATTGCTTAAATGATTTTTTTTTTTGTTCAAATTGCTTTTTTACAATTGCTTTTGTAAAACGCATATAATAATGAATAAAGGTGCATATAAAAATGAATAAATGCGCATATAAGAATGAATAAAGGTGCATATAAAAATAAATAGACGCGCATATAAGAATGAATAACCCTGAAACATTTAAATATGATTCATCGAAGTCATTAATTTCATCTGATTCCATGCCAGATAAATTTTCTCTAACATTGCTATAAACTGCTAACAAACTTTTAACTTTTTCCGGTAGGCGCAATATTTTCTTACTTTTCAATCTTTAAGTTAATGAGACTGAACTAATTAAGGGATCAGAAGTATGTATACCTCGAACAAAAATGTCAAATAAGTTTGTTTTTCTATTCTTTTACCTTGCATAATGTTCACGATCAAATTTATAAATTTTGTGTCGAAATACAATTGCTTCCTCTCCCATTAAAGTAAGTGAACTGGTGAAATAATTATAATTTCCCCAGCATGAGCTAATACTTTTTGAACGGAAGCTGGGACCTTGAACCAATCAAATGTCTCTAACAACTTCTTATATGTATCATTGCAGAATTTATTAATTTTTCCGGATCAATTGGGTCTTTGCAAGTAGAAAGTTATATAATCTGACAATAATTTCTTCATCAATTTATAAAATTTTGCTGAGTAATAGAGGGTCGAAATAAGGCATAAATTTTCGGTATCGCTAGTTCCTGATTTGCCAGCTCTTGGTTCATTAACTCTCAGACCAAAATCTTCAAAAATCCTTTTGCTTCAGGGTTTAAATTTGGAGTTGAAAGTAGCTTTGAGTTTTACGTTTAAGCATTCTGCTTCTCGAAAATAGTCTTGATTTTGTATTTCTTTTCGCTGCAATATTTCAACATAAGATGAAACAGCTGGTGTAATGCTTGAAGAACTGCCTTTTCTACTGAATAAATGTTTATTTATTTATCCATAACTTAAGTGGATTCTATGTCGATTTCGTCAACTACTATACACATTTTATCAGCATTTTCTATAATTTCGTACTGTTAGGATAACTGTGTTAACAATTCGATTACTGCCTGATGTTGATTTTCATATACTTTTGATGTTCTTTAAACTCACATGGGCTAAACATATTATCATCGAATAACTGCAACAGTTTATAGTTTGTTTTCATTAAGTGAGTCTTTGTTATTGTTTTCTTTTGTTTAAGTGACACCATAAATATATCGACATCATTATTATTTGTTGATTCTTCTTCCGACGGTTGTTTTTTTATTTTTTTTGTTTCTACCCATGGTTTTTACTTTATTAAAGTTCTTCTTTGATTTCGTGATTTCAGTAAATTTCGAAACAATGGCGATAAAACGATTAACTATTATTAAATGTAACTACCCTCTGCTACCATTTTATGGTTACGAGAATCTAGCAAAATAAATTAAATATTGTATATATATATTCTAAGATTCTTTACAGAAATCTTCAAAACTTTAACAAAGTAAAACAAACTTAAGACCTGTCAACAACAAAACAACAAAATTGTGTAAAGAAAAATCGCAATCGCACGTTCTGGAATCACTTTCGCTGAATCAGCAAACCGTTAAATTAATAAGAATTATTGGCTCGCTGACACAGCGCGTTTTGAGAAATTCTTGAACTTTCTTTAAAATTCCTTCGCGCCAAGTATTTATAGCACTAAACTCTTCAATTAAATACAGGGTTTTGCAAAGTTATAAGTGCATGTTTGCAAAGTTATAAATGCACGTTTGCAAAGTTATAAGTGCACGTTTGCAAAGTTATAAGTGCATTTATAAAGTTAATTTTAACTCATATTTTAAATATCAATGGAAAGAAAAGTATGGAAAACAATTACAGAAGAAACTAAAAATACGATTATTTCAATGAGAAATTGTGAAAAATATTCAATCAAGGAAATATCCTTGTAATTTACGCTTGTAATTTAACTCGAAATGCTGTTGGTCGTGTTATAAAAAATAGTGATAATAATATACCCTTCACGTCATCTACAGTAAAAAGAAAAGAAATGTATAAAATCAAAAGTTCTTTAAATGCAAACATTGAACAGACAATATTTAATTCCGTGGTTGAACAGACAATATTTAATTCCGTGGTTGTATGCCGTAGTTCAAAAAGAAATTCAAACGCAAATTTTAGAACAACATGGTAAAAACGTTTCAATCTCGTTTGTTTCCCGTAAATTAAAGAAATTAAATTTGACACGAAAAAGATTAGCAATCATTCCTCAAGAAAGAAACACCATGGAAAGAATAAATTAGAGATCAATTTTTGCGGCAGAAGTTGCTAGAATTGCTGATTCAAATTTGTTTTTTTTTTAAACAAAACCGGATTCAATTACCATACAGTGCGCTCCTATGGCTAGTCTCCAAAAGATACAAAAGCGTACTTGACAGTTCCTGCAAATAAAGGACAAAATGTTAGCCTCATGTGCTTAATTTCCAATTTAGGAGTTGATTATTACCAAAACAAAAGCGGCGCATACAATACACAATCATTTATTGATTTCATCAACAACAAACTAGTACCATTATTTGCAGTAAATCCAAATAAAATTCTTATCCTCGATAATGCAAAATTTCATAAAGCAGCTGCAGTACTTCAATTACTAAGAGAAAAAAAAATATTAATCATTAGTTTTTAGTACCATACTCCCCTGAATTGAACCCAATCAAAGAGTTTATTTCAATGTTAAAAATTCAATTTCAAATTCACGAGAAATGCAAACTCCGATATGACTGTTGAAGAAACTCTAGAATATATTTTATCAGCTGATAATAATTATAGTCAACAGTGCAATGCCTTTTATATAAATATGAGAAGATGGTTGGAAAAGGCAATAAGAAGAGAAGAATTTATCTAATTAAAATATTTAAATGATTTTTTTTTTTTTTTTTTAATAATGAAGATTTTTGCATGCGTTTTTAAAATATTATGATTAAATACTATATACTATTTTTTAAGAATTATGAAAGTATTTAATCTAGAAAAGTTATTGATATATAACAATTAGGGATCGCTAGTTTACGGTATACTAAAATTTTAGTATACCGTTTACTGTATAGTATACCGTAAAGTACACTGTTAAGTATACCAATGACGTCATTGCAATAAACAACTTTTTTTACTTAATAAATTTGTTAGCGAAACTATAAGAGAAAAAAAAAATGTTATTTGTTCAGTCGCAAGGGGACCAGACAAATTTTTTTAATTTCCCAACCCCGTCCTTAGCTAAATATTCAAATTAGCATTAGGTTGAATGTTTTTACTGGATTTGATATTTAACTGATTTGAAGTAAGAACAAAAATATATTTAAAGATTTTTAAAACTAATAACTTAAGTAATTAAATAAAAAGCGTTGATCAAAATCCACCACTTACTAGGACAAGTATTTTAAAAATAAGTTCTGGTGTTTTCAAATAATTTTAGACGAATAGAAACAGCAGAAACTTATCACATGACACAAAACTCCTCCCTTGTTCAATTTTTTGCAGTTTTTGCACTCTGGGGCCCTAACCTTGTTATAGATTTGTTGGCCATTTGGACTTTGTCTGCTCTCTTCTTTTTTTAGGATGCCTTTGAGACAGCAAAATAAACATAATCAGGTGGAAGAATAATACTAAATAATACTAAATATGAATAATACTAAAATAATGATGAATAATACTAAAATAAATACTAAAGTAAACAAAAACATTTTTATAAATAAAACTAAAATAATTATTTAATTTTATAAATAAAACTAAAATAATTTTTATAACTAAAACTAAAATAATTATGAATAATACTAAAATAAATACTAAAGTAAACAAAAACATTTTTATTTTCATTTAAACAAAATTTGACTAATATTTTTCGATGATTTAAAGATTTGTCGATGTAATATAAAGATTTTTAAAACTTCTTAGTAATTAAATAAAGTATTTAATTAGCCAACTGTGACAATAAATCACTTGTATCAACTGAAGTCTCTAAAGTGAAATCAACATTAACACCATCCTCATCACTCTCATCACTCTCATCGTGATCACTAGTATTGCCAAGCATTATATCAGCAATATTTGCTTTTTTTTCGTGGAGTGTTGCATTTGCATACATAAGAACCAATCCAATTGCTTTATCTTTTGCAAGTCGGTTTCTTCGCTTTGAATGAATAAAATCATACAAACTCCATATTCGCTCACTTGCAGTTTGAGAAGTTGGAATAGTAAAGACTATTTGTGCAACCTTTGCTAAATTTGGAAATTTACTTGCACCCTCAACTCTCCACCAGATATCAGGATCCATTAATTTAATCTGAGTTGCAAAATCTGGAGTCGGATTTGCACATAGCCTCTGAAATGATTTTATTTCTTTTTTTGAAATTTCATAATTGCAAAGTCCTCTTGTTTCAACTATGTACTTTGGAAGCAACTCAAGTACTATAACAAGATCACTTTTGCTAGATGGAGGAGACTCAGTATACATATTTCTGCCACCATGATTTCGTGGATCAAGAAAGTATGCAAATCCCATAGATGGCGTGTGAATAAATTCCCATCTGCTTAAAACAAGAGTTTTCAATACTGCGTCTTCCTTCCATATTTCCATTACGTTAACAAACCCTATATAAACTTCAGAAAGTAGACAACTATCGGATTCAAGTTTACCTACTAATTTTGATAATGGTTTCATAACATTAATAAAACGTTGACATTCTTCCCAAAAAAAATTGTCTTGTACAATGTTTACATAATCTGATTTTTTTTTTGATATAGATACACGTGAGAAGGCACCAGAGTTAATTAAATTCAAATGAACTAGTTTGTTTTCAAGATTACGGGCAACAGATGTATGATGGCTATACCACCGTGTTAAAACTACATGTGATAATGCTCGCATTTTCTTCAAATTATTTTCTTGTTTAACACGATTTTGAATTATACGAAATTGATCGATAAGTGATGTTATTTGTTTAAAAAAGGCTGTCAGTTTTCCAGACTTTTGTAAAATATCCACAAACTCAGGAAGAAGGCAAATATCTTTTACTAAAAGATTTATTGTATGGGCAGCACAACCATTACAAAATATTTTTGGATATTTTTTTTCAATAATATCCCATGCAGCCCTCATGTTTGATGCGTTATCAGTAACAATGCTTGTAACTTTATCAACACCTATTTCAAGAATTACATTTTCTATGCGTTTTGCAATATTAATGCCAGTTTGCTGTTCTTGACCAGTAGGTTCAATTTTGTAAGCAATAGGTTTCATAGTCCTATTTTCAACACGAATTGAATAACTAACAAGATGATTCACATTAATGTTTGAAAATCCATCAGTCACTATACTAACGTATTCAGAACTATCAACATATTTTTTTATTGCATGTTATTCATCATTTAATGCATCTTTATAAAGACGCCCACTTATACATTTACTAGATGGAGGTTTATATGCAGGTCTAAGATTAGCATGATGTTGCTTCCATGCAAAAGAATCAGCTAATGCAAAAGGTACTCCTGTATGGAAAAATGTCCTTGCATATGATTTATCTATCTTATCAATGTCATCTTTGCTTATAGTGTCAAAGTATGAATTTAGCATAGTTCTTTTAGCAGGCTGCCCAGATTCTTTGAAAACTAAATTTTCAGAAGTTTGTGAAGCCATATTATCATATCCTTTTGTTTCAACTATAACACTCTGAACTTCTTTTTTTATTTTTTTAAAGCACAACTTAACCTCATCAGACTTTTTTCTACATCCTCTCAAATGCTGCTCCAATCTTAATGTTGATTTTGCTGTAATTTGTTTATCACAATATTTGCAATAAATTTTTCTTGTTGAACCTTTTCCAAAAAAAGAGATATGTTGGTAAATTTGTTCTGACATTAAATATTTTACTTCAAGGTAAGAGTAAACATGTTACTTTTATACATACAATAAACAAATAAAAAAGAACAAAAAACAATTAAAATTTAAATAAATAAATTCAAAAACCTTTCAAAAGTTAAATTACAAAAAAACAACACTTTAATAAATGATAATTCTTTTAATACTACTATAAATAATACTATATTTATTATTAATAAATATTGTATTATTTATCTAAAAAAGTAATCACGTAATACATATAATACAATTATTTAATCAATTAAGATAATTCATTATTGAATTTTAAAATCATTTAAAAAATATTTCATAAATAACAGGTATACTAATTGGTATAGTAATTTTTAGTATACCAAATATACGGTAAAGTATACCGTAAAGTTAGTATACCGTATACTGTAACCGGCGATCTCTAATAACAATATGCTAAATTAAGTAAAAGTGTAAAGAATTTTTACTAACTAATCACTTTTTAAAAAAAAAAAAAAAAATCACTGATTGCTATGCTGTAATTTAATTTAATATTTTGCGCAATATTATTAAAGCTAAAAAAATAATTTTCAAAAAAATGTATATGCACTTATAACTTTGCAAGCGCGCTCTTATAACTTTGCAAACATGCACTTACAACTTTGCAAAACCCTATAAATGTCTGGTGTGTTTACATCAAATAAATATTCGTAATTGCCCACAACAGCGGTTTGTAAATATAACGTTTTTTGTAAAAGTCATAGTTTTGCCGCATTGAAAAATAGTTGTTTTTCCCAAGTTACGTATAAGATAAATTTTTAGAAATGTTGTTGAGTGTTGCAAACCCTTTGTATTCATTTACAAAAAAATTGGTTTTGAAATATGAATGTATAGCAAAGTTTTACAAATATTTTTAGGTTGTCGAATCATTTTGTCGCGCAGTGCAGTATAGAAACTCGGAGTTTTACACATTGTGATCATCATTGTAGTTATTTTATTATTCTAATTACTTGTTCTATTTTTTGTATTGAGCACTGTCTAACAACAAAACTTTTAAGTAGTTTTTTTTTTCTTGCGCGTTAACAAACTTTTAATAAAATTTTATTTGAAATTTATTAACAATTTATAAATATAAATTTTTTGCGCTTTAACAAACTTTTAATAAAATTTTATAAAAAAATTAATATCAATTTATAAATATAAATTTTTTAACAATGAAATATGATTAGTGAAATATGAATATTAACAGTGAAATATGTTTTAAACTTTTTTTAACATAACTTAAATTTTTAAATGTTTCAATTTAACGTTTAGCGTAACAAAACTTTGAAAAATATTAATTTAAATTACCTTTTATTTGAACTTTCTTAAAGATTTTGAAGTCTTTTTTAGAAAAAATCAATTATTTAATAACATATTTGCGATTTTTTATTTATCAAATGAATAAATTTGTCAAAATGTGTGTATTTTGGCTATAATATGTTTTTGAGGTCCTTACTAACGCCATAACAACGGATTTTCAAACAAGCAAGTTTCAAACTTGTTCAAACTTCTAAGCAATAATATCTTATTTCTATATATACATATAGTCATCAAACAATTTTATACAAATTTTGCCTTGGATATTCCGTTCATAAATTAGACAAAATTGTCTAACTTACTTAACGAAGTGCACCAACGAGAAGTTAAGCCATAGGACTTTGCACTCCATAAGTGAGCTATCATTTTGTCTAAGGTCAGCCCTCCAATTTAAGATTCTTTACTTTATTTGATAGGCAGTTCATGTAAAGATTTTTTTTGTTATTTTTATTTTAATATTTATGATAATGTGCTGTTAAGCATAGAAATAAAAATATTAATATATGTTATAAAAATATCTTCAAATTAAACAAAATTGGTACATATAAGCATATCATATTCATACCATTTATAAAGATAAAAACCACAGTACTCAAATGCAGTAAAAACAAATAATTGTAACATAATAATAAAATAAATAAGATAAATACATACTACAACATAATTCTAAATTTTTAGTAAATAAAATTTCCTCACAATCTTAGCTAAAAATAATAATATCACTTTTTCCAAAATCAATTAATAAAAGAAATGACCATACTTCATCAGGTTTGTTATCATGCCAACAACGTATGTAGTTCGTTAGCATTTAATTGATCAATTTGTACTACTTGTGCACGTTCCCAAGATACTTCAAGAGAATCTTTTTCTCTAACACGATGTTGTATAGAAAAACCTCCAAAATCAGATGGATTATTAAAAAATTTTAATAAGGAATATTTTTTTTGGTGCTCTATTAATTTATTTAGTTTGGCATCCTGAATTTTTTCCAATTTTTTTTTTTTTTTTTTGGTTTCAACAGCTGCATCAAGTATTATATAAGGCTTTAAATTACTACTTATACTACTTAAAGACTATTTGTTTAGTGTTAAATTTGTTTGAATGATAATAAGAAGATTTTGATATAATTCCTCCGAAGACAAGTTTTTCATTTTGCTTTCTTCTATTTTTGTTTTACAAAAACGTTTTTTGTCACATTTGACACTTAAGATTATACGATAAAAGTTTAGTTGTTAAAGGAGCATTTTTGCCTTTAATGGTTCTTCTATATTGCATAACTTCAATATTGCATATCTTCAAAATCTATTAGACATTTAAAATAATCCATTTTTAAATCCAACATAGATTCAATTTTTAAATCTATCAAAGATTTCATTTTCCTTTTTAAAATTTTATTTACTTTTTTCAGCATTTTGTTTTTGCTTATTATTATTGTTTCTTTAGCAATTCCAGATGTATTCACTAAATTATGAGATAAATTACCACAGGTGGAAAAAAGGCTACACCTAACAACTATATTAATAGTTGTTTGTTGTTTCTTTAACTTTCTGATGGTGTCAACTAATCTATTTATTTTTTTGACTAAAGCTTTCTTGCAGCAAAACAGTTTAGCATTGAAATCCATGCAACATGTACAATATTTTGTATGATAAGATGTATCTTATCATACAAAATCATGTCAAATATCAATCTTATCATGTAAAACATCAATCATAATACTTATCATGTCAAATATCAATCATAAATACTTTCATTGATCATTTTATCTAAATAAATAAAAATATAGATTTTCCAGTCATCATTTTGAACAAACATATAAATCTATTTAATTTTATAAATAAAATATTTGTACAATATAATATAAAATAAGTAAAAGACTTTAAAAATTATTTAAATTAGTTAAACATTTTTTAAATGTTTAAATGTGTATATATATATATATATATATATATATATATACTATATATATATATATATATATATATATATATATATATATATATATATATATATATATATATATATATATATATATATATATATATATAACTTTAAAGTCAGGTAAATTGTAAAAGTAAATAGTAAGTTTTAAATAATGCTTACTGATAAACTGTTGTAATTAAATCACTAATTGATTAGCAACAACAAAATCAACAACATAAAAACAAACCCACTTTATAATACTGTAAGTAAAAACTTGTAATAAAATCTCAGGTATATAAAAAATAAAACTCATGTGCAAAAATGTGTGAAAAAATCCTTAGATTACTTGTTTAAGAAAAACGGCAAATTTACCTTATTAAATTTTGATTGCGCTCGAAAATCTATCTAAAGACGGGGGAAATTTAAAAAATCTTCAATTAGAAAACAAAAAACCTATCCTAATAAACTACAAAAAAAATACCAAAACTTATTGATATAATAATAAATAGTTGCAAAATCTATTTTTATGTGGGGACAAAAGAATTATCTTAATTTACTTGTATTTAAACAAGACTGAAACATTTAGAATTGAATAACTTTATCAATTCTAAAGCAAAACGTCGTCCCCAAACAAATCATTGTAGTACATCCTTTTTTAAATAAAATAACATATATATATATATACGTATACACCATTAATTTTCATGGTTGGGTTTTTTATTCTTCGACACCTATATAAAATAATTTCTTGCGTTTTTTGGACAAAGTTTTTCAAAAACAAACGAAGTTTTTTTTTCTGCGATTAAGTGTCACATGATAAAACTTCCTACTTTACTGTACATGAATTGTCACAGAATTCTGGCCTTTTAGGTACCCAAGGAGCCTGTCATTTTTATCAACACTAGAATCAATTAAATCCACGATAAACAAGAACTATTTCACTAGTTGTTAAAGGTTCAATACAATTAAAACCTAATTGTAAAAGGTTCGATACAATTAAAACATAATTGTAAAAAGTATTAAGTAGTAATGAGAAATATTTAAAAATAACCAAACGTATTAACTGCAAAAGACGAAGTATCTTTTAAGACAAACTTAATTTAGTATAACGTGATAGAGGACTTATAGCATTTAAAACATAGTTTAAAACAAAAAATTTAATTTAATAAATCTTGCAAAAGAATATAGTTTCATAACAGGGTATATAAAAGTGGGTTTAAAAAAAAATTAATAAAAATTATATTAAATTAACATTTTTAATTTTTTTTTAACATATTGCAAATATATGAACCTAATTTTAATTAAATGAAATTTATTTTGGAATGGCTTAACAAAAAATAAAACCCCCCTAAACATAGCAATATTTTTTTGTTCTAATCCAAGATGGCGTCCTTTAAGTTTAACTTCTTTAGAAGTAGTTTTTGCGACTTGTGTTTATTTTTGTGTTAATTTAGTTAAAGTTATTAGTAGTTTTTAAAATTTTATAAAATTGGGGGTAAAAATTGCATAACAACCGGGTTAAATATAAAACCGTACGATAATGAATACAAAATGTTAAACATATTGGATTATAGTAAGATTATTCACTTGAGACTGTTTTTAAATTCAATTTTTAATAGTTATTCGAATACAACAAGAAAATAACATTCAAATAAAAAACAGCTTTACTTTTTATTAGAACGTTAAGACAAATATTTCCAAAAGTAACGGCAATTGAAGAATGGTAAAGACAGGTTTTTTTGTTGTTTGCCTATTTAATTTAAAATATTTAAATAATTTTTGAAAGTTTCTGTTATAATATTTTTATAAAATTCTGCTATTGATGTTTTTTTTTTTTTAAAACAAATAAACGTTTATTTTTTTATAATATAAATAAGCGTTTTTAAATATATACTTCGAATGTTTATTTTTAACAAACGTGTAAATCTTATATTATTATTATTATTATTATTTTTTCTTTTTTGGTTTTCATTTGTTGGTCTTTGAACAACTTTATATAACCAATAATAAAAATAATAATGTAAACTTACAATGATAAACTTTTTTATGTAACTGTGTGGCTGTTGATTAGAATTCGTTACCACTAGATATCATTACCATCGGTAGAAATGTACCAGATATTGTCAACATTAACACTTTCAAAAAAAAGCTTGACAGATTTTTTGCCTCACTTCCAAAAGAAACTGTATGATCGGTACTTCTGTTTCTCGTTTGGGAATGATATTAACTCTATGTACCGACTATTTTATTTCTTTTTTATTTATGTTTGGTAATCCTCTATAATGGATCTACCATAGTATGGATTGGTTGCTTTCCCAGCTTCACGGTTTTTTCTGTTATCAATTAAATATAAATTAAAATAAATTAAAGAACAATAAATAAAATAAGTAGAAATAAGCTTCAATAAACGTAGTTATGTATATAAACAATAAGTAAGTAGACCAAAATATGTTTTTAAATTTTACTACTAATAATAACTTATTATTTAATAAAAGAATGAGGTTTTGTAGTTTATTTTTAAAAACGCAAAAAGAAATAGGTACTTCAAAATTTAAATTCAAAACAATTTTGTTCCAAAGGTGTGGTGCTCGATAGTTAATAGAAAACCGGTTAAAGTTTACTTAATATTACAAAATATACTTACTTTTTTTGTGATTTATTTTTATCATTTTAGGTTTTTTTGAATTCGATTAAAAAAGAACTCATCATAGGAAACTGGTTTTCTAAGACGAGATAAATGGGTGTGTTGAAAATAACGCAATTTTTGGTATAGGATAGATTAGATTAATATGAGCACCTTGGTAACACGAGCATACTTAAAGATTTCTTAAATGAAAGCAGTGAAGTTAAAGTTGCTTTGTATTTTTTGACTCGACTTTATGTGATGAAAGCAGTTCCACAATGCAAGCATTGTGGAATACCGTGCCACAAAACCTAATCAAAAAATCTATAGATTCCATGCTGCATGCGCCTTGGCATGCTTTAAAAACAAAGGCGACAATATTAAATTTTCGTAAAATCCTTGAAAGATTCCGTTAATACTTTAGCGCACCCTTTATTATGTTACTTTTGTCGCTCTAATCACTTTATTATGTTACTTTTGTCACTCTAATAACTTTTTGCATTGTAAGTAATTTAAATTTAAAGGTAAAGGTAAATTTAAAATAAAAAACATATTAATATAGTTGGCTCTTTGCAATTCTGTTTCCTTTTACCATTTAACAAAAAAAAAAAATGATCAACTTGTTTTTTATTGTTTTCGAATGACTTTCCTTTAAAGTTAAATAAGATAAAAAAAATTATGCGTTCGCTAATACATTCTGGAAGCACTCTATATACGCACTAAAAAAAGAAATTGCACTTAAACAACGAAAAAATTATAACGCCTGAGTAAAGCCAATAAAAAGTCAGTTATAATGGCGTTATATATTGGCGTTATATTGGCGTTATATTTTGGCATAATTTTTATCCGTTACATTTGCTCAACTCTGGCGTTATATTGGCGTTATATTGAAGAAAAATGAACTAATGGCAAAGTTGATATGTTTGGCATTATATTTATTATACTGATCCTATTTTTACAAGAAAAATGATAAAAACACAATAAAAACGTTTCAAGATAATGCTCACTAAAGTAAAGTAAACTTTTTATTTGAATATGTCCAGTTATATTATGTATTGCTTGAGAATATATAAAAATGTGCTAAAATTATTAAAATAAAATTAAAAATAACTAAAACAACGTCTAAAATTTACTCAAAAACGAAAAACGATAACACACTAAAAAAACGATAACTCACTAAAAAAACGATAACCCACTAAAAAACAACTTTAAATCATGTGTGTTTATAGTATATAATAATTTAGTTGAGCATTTAAAATTATTTTAAAAGGGTATAACTTTAGAATTGTTACCAGGTTTCGATGCCACTAAAGAATACAAAATAAAAATAAAAAGGAGCAAATGATCCCTTTAAATTTATAAATAAATACATGTTAGAAAAATACGTGTAAGTTTACTACTCGTACAAATTTCTGTCGCCGCTAAAGAATTCAAAATAAAAGAGATTATAAAAAATGATGTAATACCTTATTTTTTGATTGGTCATTTATTTTGAAAAGACTCAGCTAATGCTACTAATGCTATTAGGTATCAATATCATTATATATTAAAAAATAAAACTGATAATAACCAAAAAGTCATCTTCTAACTCAGACATATATAATCATTTTGAAAAAAAATGATCACTTTTTTATTGGTAACACATGCCGATGCAATTAAAGAATGTACAAAAAAAATAATAATGATAATTTAAAAAGTACTTTTCTATTTATTTAATCTTCAAATTTGTAGTCATTAATAATGATTTTGAAAAGGGTAACATTATCATAAGTAGCATATGTTGTCACCATATAAAAGCGCTAAGTAATAAAGAGATTAGTAAGTAATAATTTGATTCGCCAATTTATTGATTTTGAAAAAAAAAAAATCTTACCATTACGATCAAAAGAAATAATCTCTGGTCCTGCAAATGACGCCTTTAATTTTTATGGAATACATATTTGTATTGAAAAGATACATACATTACCACTAGTACCTAATGTTAGTATAAAAAATATATTGAATATTAATTTAAAAGATACCTTTACATATTAAACCATTTTTGATAATTTTGAAAAGAATTAATATTTAACATTAAGATTGGTGCAAGAAGTTGTTGCCACTAAAGAATCATAATAAAAAAGATATGGTATAAAATAATTTGATTCGTTGTTTCAAAACTATTATGAAAAGATATATCATCACCTTATCATCACCAGCAAATAAGTGTCGATGCTTCTAAAGAATTTAAAATAAAAAGAATAATTTACAATAGAAAAATTATTTTTAAAATGTTTAGAACAAGTATGGGGAGTTGCCCCTTTGCCCCCCCCTCCCCCATCCACATAGATCCAACCTTGGTTGAATGTCATCAAACTCAAAAGGAAAAAAGCAGCGAAACAACAAAATATATATTTATTATTAAGTGGATTTTTGTTCAAACAGACAGAAAAATAATAATTCATAATAATTTTCTCTTTATTAAAAAAATATTTAAAAATCAACTTTATTGTTGTTGAGTTGATAATCTGGATTTCATATTTTAACGTTTTTTTTGCGTAAAACTTTTATCGAGAATTTTGGTAAATATAAAAGAGTACATAAAAAATGTACACTTAATGACTAATACATAATGAATAAACAAAAAGAAAAAAAGAAAAATATTAAAACTTAAAGACTAACTATTACTGAGTTGGTGCAGAAACTTTAAAGTAAATTTAAGTAGATATATTTTTTTATTTATTTCTATCTATCTAGATCTATCTCGGCTGATAACTAATATTGTTTTTAATTGTTATTTTTATTAAATATTAAGTTCAACACTTTAAAAAGCAAAAATTACGCATAGTTATATTAATAAGAATAAGTAAATATAACTTTTTTTGGTTTGAGCAATTTATGATTTAGAAATAAAAGCGTCTAGTTAGAGGTTAATAAAATTATTATTTAAAGAGAATAGTTAATATTGTGAATTAATTATAATAATTGAACATTTTAGAATTTATGAAAAACACAAAATATAGTGTAATTGAAAGCTGAATTAAATTTGTAATGCTGAAAAACGGTAATGATGGCGGTGAGTTGGTAGAAGACAACGCTAAAAATGGAAATAGCGAGACTTTGATCATAAATGAAAACCAAAATGATATACAAAGTTTAATTGATATAAAAGTGGGTTTCACACGGCAGATCACACTGTTAGGAGCCATCGGTCTTCTTGTAGGAACAGTGGTTGGTAGCGGAATTTTTGTATCACCTAGTGTAGTTGCAAATTATTCTGGCAGTTCAGGTTTAATTCTTATTGTTTGGGCAGGCAGTGGAGTACTTGCACTTTTTTCAGCTTTATGTTATGTAGAACTTGGTACAATGTTTCCTACGTCATCAGGCTCTGACTATACTTTTGTATATGAAGGTTTTGGAGATTTACCAGCATTTGTATCTGGGTTTACAAATGTGGTAGTATTATCTCCAATGGCATTAGTTATGGTGGCGTTAACATGCGCAAGTTACATTGTTTTAGCTGCAAAAATAGAAGAAAAATACATCAAAATAATTGCTGCCGTAATCATAGGTAGGCAAAATAATTAAGTTTTAAAAACAAACTATATACAAACTCAGAAATTAATATTCTTCGCATTTTAGGAGTAATATTCATCTTGAACTGTGTTAGTGTTAACTTGGGAACAATTGTTCAAGAGATTTTCACAGTAATAAAAATATTGGCATTACTAATGATTGCAATTACTGGTGTAGTGCGACTTTTTCAAGGTAAAGTATAATCATATTGACAAACTAAAATAGTTTTTCATATGATTGTATAATTGTGTTTTTTTATTTAAAAATTTAAATGTAAATAATCATACTTTCACGTATACAATGGTTTATAGACAAACTATGTTTTTCATTCATAAAGTAATAAAAACAAAACTTTCATTTTTAAAATCTTAAATTAATCATAACATGTAGTTTAAAAAAAAAAACCTTAAAGTTCTAAATACTTTGAATTATTTAAAGTAAACTTTTAAATAATAAAAAATGTTTTTATTAAAGTTTTGAAACATTTTTTTAGGTCATTACCAAAATTTCAGACAAATTTTTAAAGGATCAAAGACAAATATCTCAGAAATTTGTTATGCTTTTTATGGTGGCTTTTGGGCTTACGGGGGCTATAGTAGTTTACCAACAATTGCAGCAGAACTTAAAAATCCTATTAGAGATCTCCCACTAACTATGTGGATTGGAATGATATTAGTTACAGTTTTCTATCTTTCCGTTAATGCGGCATACTTAACAGTAATGACTCCATTAGAAATTGCCACTTCAAATGCAGTAGGAGTAGTAAGTAAAAGGCAAATCTAGAAAGAATTTTTGGTGCATGAAATGTATTTTTTAATACTACTAATATCTTGTCTAGGTCTTATTTCCATTTTATGTTTACTTAATTTTTAAAGCTTAAACTTACACTATAACAAATTCACATTAACATAAATATAACAAAGTCGTAATTTTACTATAAAATTCTTTTTCCTTTTTTTATAATTTACTTTATTCTATCGCATACATTTAAAAGATGTTTTTAGACATTTGGTAATCACGTTTATGGCCCTGCAGCTTTGGTTATACCGGTGTTGGTGGCATGTTCATCATTTGGTGCTTCAAATGGAAGCTTGATATCTAGCAGCAGGTGATTACACTTTATCAGCTATTTCCATCTATTAATTGATAACGAATTTAGGTTCAACTTATTTTTATCGTTTTAGGATGTTGAACGCAGTTGCCCAAAAAGGTCATGTGCCAAAGTTTCTTTCCCTCATACACAAAAAACGCCACACACCATCTATATCTCTGTTTTTTATAGTAAGTAATTTACTTGGGGTTATTGGAAAAAAATCTTTTATCATGGTTAGATATCTGTTGCTATAATAAAAATTATAATAAAAATAAAGCATAATAAAAGTAATGCATAAAATAATAAAAAATAAAATTATACATTACTATATAAAAAAAAGTGAACTTCGTTGTTAATAAATGATATTTCGCGGTGCTCTGCTATGAGTAATAAAAAAAATCAGTTAAAAACATCAGTAGAGCTTTTTAATTTTCACACAAAGTAAGCAAGGTTACTGATATTTATTTCAAATTCACTTGAGATACAAGTCAGGATTATGTGTAACTTAACAATTAATTCTTCAATAATTCCTGTAGTTTTAACAAATATATTTTCAACTGAAAAGGCTTTTCGAGCAGTATTATTTTTATCTGATGTTTCTATCTCCTTTTGATTACCATTTTTCAATTTGTGTTTTGTATGAATTATGAATGAGATAGTCAAAAAAATCTTATCCATTTATGAAATGTAGGTAATCCATATTTCAGCCCATCCCAAGAAGTGGATTAAACAATTTTTCTTAAAGCATCCTAATTTGACATAAGTAACCAAATATAAGTTTGCTATATGCTCCATGTCTGGAATTTAGTTATACCAAAGACCAAAATATTATCGATCCGTCTCTGGCTCATCTAACCAATACGTAAGTTTCATTACTTTGTCAATGCTGTTCATGCCTTTTGCTGAACATTTACACATACAACAACATTGACTGGAATTTTTTACATTTGATGAGCTAGTATGGACTTTGATATTTATTATAGTACCTTGAATGGTATGTTTTATTGAAATGGACTTGTCGTTAGATAACTCAACACAAGTTTCTTCAAAATTAGAGATCTCATTTTATAAATTGTTTTCTTTACTTAGTAATAAATACCCGGTGGGAAATCGGCTAGCGAATAACTAGCTATAATCGTTACGATAAAGACAGCGATTTGGCCACGAGGATAGCTAGCTTTATTAAGTTAGCGAAAAGCTATCGATATTTTTAAAGATAAAGACAGCAATTTAGCTACGAGGACAGCTAGTATAATAACCTGAAGATCCACTGGCTATTGTATCTAGCGTCATATCGTAATAAAATCGTTGTTTAAAAAATTTTGATATTTAGCTATCAACTAGCTATAGATTTGTAGATATTTTGTAGCTAGCTGCAAAGCTACGATATGTAGCTAGCGACACATTGCTACAAAATCGCAATGTTTAAAGTTCAATTATTTTTCTAATTATAATAGACTCAACACTAAAAATCGAATTTTTAAAGATGTTAAAGACATTTGCAAAAAATAAAATAAGAAAAAAAAAATCGCTTGAAAATCGCTATAAAGCTAGCCAGTCGCTAGCTAGTCGCTAGCTAGTCGCTAGCTCATTTCCCACCAGGTAAGTTGTTAGTTTTTTAAATTTAAATTGTTAAGGTGGACATTATAAAGTTTTTGAGTTTTTCCAAATAATAATCTGAGTTTCTCTAAAATAAGTTTCAATCTGAAGAGGAACAAAGCAAGATTAAAGCAATGATTTTTTTTTCTAGCCGCAGAGAACAACTGACTTTTTTTGTTTGTATTTGCTTTAAATTTCGTTTGCATTTGCCGGATCAAGGGGGGTCCCTAGCCCCAGTAGCGTAGCGAGGTGGGGAGGCAAAGGGGAATTTGCCCCGGGTGCAAAGATTTAATAGGGCGCAAAATTAGTAAATTATCTTAATCTTTTCTGTTAAAAAAAATAAAACAATGGTTTTAGTTTTTTAAACATAAAAAAATTTTATGTCGAAAATTTAATAAAATATTACGTTCATATCTAAGTATATAAGATAATTGCTGGTTGAATTAAAAAAAAAAAATTTAGAAGTTTTTTTATTCTCTAGAAAAGAACGAAACGGCAACTTAATGGTTTTTTTGAAATAAAATTGTTTATTGTGCGATTTGTTTTTTTGTTAAAATCGCATATACTCATGGGCACCCGCAGCAAGGGCAGATTCAGATCATGTCGTAAGGGGGCGATTTTAATTTTTTTGATTTGATTTTCAGATTTAATGATTTTTAACAAGCAAGCAACAAAACAATTTTATACTTTATTAAAAATTGTAATTTTATTTAGACAGCCTAACTATATTATTTCTAACAACTTGCTGTGTTTGATATATAAACTTATAAAAACAAATAGTTTTATAACATTCTATGGGGAGGGCCCATAAAATGTTATGAAATCCCGCTCTTGGTCCGCAGGATTTTTTGATGTTTCAGAGAAGACCCTTTCACGTTTTGAGCAAACTCCAAACTTAAGTATGTTTAAATCTATGCCAAATGACGAGACCTTGTCAAAATATGAAATAGCGGAGGCCTGGGAAAAAAAAGCTCTAAAACGTTTCCCCCCACCCTTCCTGCCCAAACGTGAGGGCACTATATATTATTCCCATTAAGGAGTTTTTCTTGTATGATTTAGTTCTATTGCCTGTAAGTCTTGTGTTTTGCAGTAATAATTACTATAGTAAAAGTTTTGACTTGGCATATAGTTTCGAATTGGCATAAGTGCGCCGAACAAATTTGCAAACATTGGGATAAGTGCGAATTGGCATAAGTGCGATGTAAGTTACAAAAACTGGCATAAGTGCGAATTAGAAAATCGGCATTAATGCGAACTGGTATAAATGTGCCGAATATATTTGAAAATATTGGCATAAGTGCAAACAGGCATAAGTGCAAATTGGCATAAGTGCGAATTACCAATTTGCACGTATGCCAATATATGCAAATTTATTCGGCGCACTTATGCCAATTCGCACTTAAGCCAATTTTTGTAACTGCTTTGCAGTTATGCCAATTCGCACTTATGACAGTTTGCACTTATGCTAATATTTCCGAACTCATTTAGCGCACTTATGCCAATTTGCACTTATGCCAGTTTGCAATTGTGCCAATTCGCACCTATGCCAATGTTTGCAATTTTTTTCGGCGCAATTATGCCAATCCGCACTTATGCCAGTTTGCACTAGTACTAGTTTTTGCAACTGCTTTGCACTTATGCCAGTTAACATTTATGCTCATTCGCATCTTTGCCAATGTTTGAAAATTCTTTCAGCGCATTTATACCAATTCGCATCTATGCCAGTTCGTATTTATTCCAATTTTTGCAACGCTTTGCACTTATAGCAGTTCACACTTATGCCAACTTATGCCGCTTATTTAGCCTCCCGTTCCTGATACTTATCAAATTCTAGTTTGCAATATAGCTACAGTATAGCACAAAATTGTATTTTTTTATTTACACAGTTAACATATATATATATATATATATATATATATATATATATATATATATATATATATATATATATATATATATATATATATATATATATATATATATATATATATATATATATATATATTTAAAATATATTATATATTACTGCCAAACACAAGACTTACAGGCAATAGATCTAAATCATACAAGAAAAACTCCTTAATGGGAATAAATGGGCACAATTTTTATTTTTGGCCCCGGGGGCAAAATTCTCGCTACGCCACTGCCTAGCCCCATTTGATCCGGAACTGCCAAAGTGAATAAAACCGCCGGGTTTATAATAAAATATTAGTAGATATTTTATATACAAATACAATTATTACATCACTTTTTTTTCTCGCTTTTTTCATAATAAATGTTTCTAACACTTCATCAAAATTTATTTTATTCAAAATGTTACGCTGAATAAACATCAGAGTATTCAATCAAATGACAGATTGTTCAATCTATTATGCATCGAAGTTAATTTTAGTTTATTCTTAATTTGAATTTGTTGAGAAAAACTTTTTTCTCCTGTTCATTTAGACACTATCAGATTTAAGTAAATACGGGATATAATGTCGACAGTGATCTTTTAATCTATAATCTATTATCAATTTGTAATTTAATAACTCTTTTCTTTTATCTTTATCCTTTACTTTTCTGCAAGTTTGAAGAATTGAATTTTTAGATAAGCGAAAAAATGAACCATTTCATCATTTAATGTCTTAACTATAAGATTAGTGTTTTAGCAAATAAATTAGTCAAATTGGTCAAAAAAAACAATTAAGCACAAACAATAAAAAATGCATTACCACAATAAATCAAAGCTTGGCTAAGTTTGTCAATGATGGCATAAATATGTTTTTATTTTGAATTTGGTCTAACCCAGTTCCCCAGAACATTTATCCTAGGCTATTCCTTTGGTGAACTGAACTTTCCTTTTTTTCATTCTGCTATTATCTTCTATAAAAATCTCTACTTTACTTAACATCAAGCCATAATCCTCAAACAACAAAAACTTTGTGCAGAGTAAATCTATAAAATCTTTTAATAAATGCAATAAATGATGCATCTGTATTTACATTCAGTGTTAAAACTCTGAAGAAGCTTGCTCGTTGTGTTCAGTTAAATTTCTAGTTTTTAATATATCAAACCAATTTAATAAACTAATAGCTTTGTGTTTGGTAACTGTTTTTTTATTCATTAGGATTCAAAATTGCACTATAAGCTCTTTGAAAAATCTCGTGTTGCATTTGATAAACGTTAGTGTAGTCATTAGCATGACTACACTAACGTATATCGAAAAGTTGCTTTGGTACCGGTACGTGTTAACTCAATTTGACAAGAAAAATATGCCAGCAGTGTGTTGATATACTTAAAAAAGTGCATAATTTTTAAATAAAATCAAAAAATTTTACAGCAGCTCGACAACAACCAACATTACTGCTTTCTACTAAACTTAATGAATGTGCAAAACACGATATAAATGTAGCAAATGGTTTCACTGTTTTAATATTTGCTAGAACTCCATTAAATCGACTAGTCATATTTGAAGCATTGTCATAAGTCTCACAAAAAATTAGCAAAATCGATATTATTGTCATCTAAATAAGACAGCAATACCCTAGCTAATTCTTGGCCAGTATGGGTTTGTAATTTAAGAAATGACAAAAACTTTTCTACAGGCCCAGATTTAATTGAAAACTGTACTGTAACAGTCAGTTGTTTGATGTGGGATGAGTCAATCAAGCATGATAATATTTTGTTTCCTTCATTTGATTTATTATACTAGTTAGCACTGCTTGACCCATTAAAGCAATTAGTTCTTGAAAAACAATTGATGACAAGTACGACCCATTTTTCCTCCCTATGTTACATTGCTAAAATTGAATCAAACTTTGCTACTACCTCTAAAATACTCATGTACCCTGCTAGCACAAAACGTTCAAGTACGTTTGTTGATCGTTTTGTGTTAGCTGGGTAATTACCATTTTCATTTGAGTTATGGCCTTGAAACGACAAACTCCTTGCAGAAAAAAATTAGATAACATCTTCCACGAGCTCCAAAACTGATTACATAAAGTTCAATCGGATCTTAAATTCACCTTTATAAATGACATCAACCATTCCAGCCAATCACGATTGTATTATGTATGCAAGAGCTACTGTTAAGTGGCGGGAATCTTCTCATACATTTCAATGGAAGATGTGGCATTCATCCAATCATTGAAACCCTCACAAAAATCTGTTTGAGTAGACGACAGAAGGTTACACATAAAGCAGTATATTTTCCATTTGTTGGTGAATATCGGTGTTGGTGAAGTTAGGTAAGAGCGGATTTTTCATAAGTTAGAAGATGTTTCCGTGTGAACAACGCATATTATTTTTGCGTGGCTTCCTTGAGAAGTGATAGCTTTATAAGTTGATAACTTGGTATAGTTAGGCAATATGGCTCTTATTGTTGAAGAGTGCTAAGAATTAATTCAATTTTATAAAGAAACTAAATTTTATAAAGAAAATTTGTGATCAGAAATTTTTTTCTGAAAAATTTAAATTTGGGGTTCTTTAAATTGTGTGACTTAAGACCATGGCATCATTAACCTTACTTACACGTAGTACGTTTTAATTGCTATGTAATGTTTGATAAACTACATATTTCCTCTAATAAATATATCCTTATCATTATAAAATATTTTCAGCATATTGACAATTTTTTTGGTATTTTAGCACACTCTGTTTCACTATTTGGAGGCCACTTCGTACAGTAATGCTTTAACGTTATAGCGTCATAGTATCGATTGTTCTATCGGTTGTAAATTTTACTTAGTATTCCCTAAGTAATTACCGCACATTTCTTTACTTTGAATAACCCATTTCTACAACCAAGGAGTTATAATAGCGGAGCTGGAGGGAGAACGAAAATGAGCAATAACACTCTTTATATAGCTGAACAAGCAAGCAAAAAATAAGGTTCAAATAGGTAGTAGAGATTGTATAAAACTTTGATATTTATAGCTATAATTGAGGTACGCAAGAAACAATTATTTCATCTTAATCGTGATTTTTGCGTTAATTAACTTCTTGATTAATTGAATATATGTTGCAAATATATCCAACAAACTTTTATTTTATTAATCCATTTCAATTACAACTCTCAAAGTTAACTGATAACATTTCAAAAATGTTCATTTTTTTGCAAAAGAGCCATTTTGACTTGCTACTGGAATAACTATATTACAAAGACTGTAACGCGATTTAAATCCATTTTTGGCTTCGTTTCCCCTCTGGCTAAACTATTATACCACCTTGCAACAACTTAATTCTCAGTTCCCTAACTTTATGCTGATTTGCTAATTTTTATTATAAATTATTAATTATCATAAATTTTTTTCACACTTTTTAAAAAAATTTTATGTTTGCGTGTGTTAGTGAGAAATGCGATTGCATTTGGCAAAGTAGATTGATGGGACAATTATTCATTATTTTATGGTTGCTTTTTTTTAATTTTTTGCTAAAATTTTAAACACTCATTTTAAATATATCTTTACAGTTTACTTGTCTTTGTTTATAGTGCATTGTATCATTGATTATGCTGATACCGGAGTCATCTAATTTTGAAAATTTATTAAAATACATTTCTTTTATTAACGCGGCATTAGTTGGTTTGACTATATCAGCTTTGTTATGGTTGCGATATAAAAGACCAGATATAGATAGACCTTTTAAAGTAATCTATTTTATTTATTTTATAGACCAGAATCATTAGTAAATGTTAAAAGTAGTTTACTTATTTTTAAGACTCTAATCAAAACAGCATCTAAAATTTTGATTTTATATTTATTTTATATGCAATATGTTTTTTTTCTAACTTAGGTGTTCCTTGGATTACCCATTTTAGTGTTGTTAAGTTCAGCTTATTTCACAGTAGCTCCATTTTTTGAACATCCATTAAAATCAACCTATTGCCTAATTGCGATCCTTATTACCATTCCTATATACTACATTTTCATAAAATACAAGAAAATACCTAAGTTTGTATCAAATTGTTTTGGTAAGTCTGCAAAAATAAGTGTTTTTTTTTATTATTTTATTATAAATGATATCAATTTAATACTCAACATACTGCAAAAACTACTTGCAAATTTAACATTAAATAACATTGTTTAAACTGATTAAATATTAGTTCATTTTTTGTATAAAATAAGTTCATCTCTAATTTTTGCTTTTTAAATTTTCGTTCATTACTTTTAGAAAATTTATATAAAAATATGTTATAAATATTTATTTTAGGTAGTTTGGCGTCAATGTTAGAAAAGTTAAACATGGGCTATCCAACAGAAGAGCTTAAAGAAAATGTTTATTTTAAAAGAAGTGCAAAGGAAGAGATGAATATGCAACCAAAAAGTGAAGCTAATTATTTTTAACACTGTCATGAACTAATCGAGTTTCAGTAATAAAAATCGCCAGACAATGAAAGATTATAAACAAAATTTAAACATTCCAATAATTTTTGACATTTTGTTTTTTTCATGTCAACAGAGCATCACTTCCATTTTATGTTTATCGCTTATATAATATTTGTGGAATCAGGTGTATGACAATGTAAGGTTCAAAGTTTATATTTAAACGTTTAGATTTGAAAAATTTGGATTGTCTTTTTTATATATCATGTTGAAATTATTTATTTACTGAATTTAGTGAAATATTAAAATTACAAATATTTAAATTGTCTTATCTTTACTAAAAATATAAATTTCGTATGAAATATGTAGTAATATTTATAAGCATAATATGCTTATGAAAGCAGTTTTTAATTTTGGAATTAATAGTATTGTTTTATTGGTAGCAGGAAAAATCCCCCGGGAAAAAATCCCCCCAGAAAAAATCCCCCGGAAATAATCCCTCCGAGAAAAAATCCCCACAAAAAAATATCCCCTAAAAAAAAATTTTTTTTAATTAAAATTTATCAATAAAATAGTTATAATTATTTAAAAAAGTTTTATAAAATCCTTCATTTTTCAAGTTATGCGCTATTCCTCGGTTGTCGGAAAAATGCGAACTGCGCGATCGCGAGCTGCGAACCGGTAAAATACGAACTTTTTTTGCGAAACAAAACTATATTTTAAAGACCACTATTTTAATGATAAAAATAATAATAATAAAAAACTCTCCAATTCTTAATTATCTATTTTAAAGCTTTATTTAAAAAATATTTTTTTTTTTTTAACTGTAAAACATGCGTGGAGTGTTACTACATTGGTTATCTTATAGCCTGACTCGCAACGGAGTGCTGCTACATCAACTGAGGGTTTGGTTTAAGCAGGCAGTCTATCGAATAATTGATATATATATATATATATATATATATATATATATATATATATATATATATATATATATATATATATATATATATATATATATATATATATATATATATATTATTATTATTATTATTATATATATATATATATATATATATATATATTATTATTATTATTATTATTATTATATATATATATATATATATATATATATATATATTAATTATAATTATTATAATTAATATATATATATATATATATATATATATATATATATATATATATATATATATATATATATATATATATATATATATATATATATATATATATATATATATATATATATATATATATATATATATATATATATATATATTCATATTGTATTCGTCGAGTTTCACTTAATTTCCTTTTATTTTTTTTTTAAATAATTTTTTCATTTAAAAGTCCTTAAAATATACCGCTAAAGTAACTACGATGGTTAGGGTTTCACATTGGCTACCTTTGAGGAATAGCGCATAACTTGACATTTTGATGAAAAATGAAGTATTTTATATAAATATTTAAAATAAATAAAGAAATAAATATAACTAAATATTGATAATTTTTGAGTAAAATTTTCAATTTTCCGTTTTTGTTACAATTAAATTCCGTAATATAATACAAGATACTCTAATTCTTTCAAAAATAAACCAGTTATAAATATAAAAAATCAAAAACATAATAATAAGAGTTAGTTATACAAAAATAAATAAAAACGCGGGAAACTTGCAGAAGACCATTAAGTCATATCATCAAGAACCATTGTAATAATTATGTTTTTACAATATTAAATTCCTATAATAGTGTTAAAAGCTAAACTTAATTAACTAAGGTAAATAGTGTTAAAACCAAAAACTTTTCAATGTAAAAAGACAAAAACAAAAAAACAAACAAACAAAAAAAAAAACAAAGCAGTTTAAAAGAAATCATTTATAAGATTTGTTTACTTTGAAATATTCTTTTTTATTAGTTTTTATTAGTTAGAAAGCAATTTATGTAGTTTACACCTGGTAAATTAGTATATTTTGCTAAGATTTTATTCCAGATATGTGGAGAACGATGCGTAATTTTAAATTGTTCTAGTTTAGTTTTGCACAATGGTTCAATTAAGCCTGTTGTGCGTAAAGTATATTTAATGTTAAGTTTTATTTCTTAAAGATCATTAAAAATTAAGGGGCATTGTTGAGATTTACTTTAGTACATGAGACATAAAATTTTATAAACGTTTATCTTGTATAACGTAAAAATATTAATAATTTCGAACAGTAGTTTTGCATGTTCGTTTTTATTTTTAAAATTTATTATTCTCAAGGCATGTTTTTGTTTTCAATAGAGTGTTTCAAGCTTGCTTTTAGATGTACTACACCACGCAATATTCGCGTAATTCAAGTAAGTAGTCAACTCTGAAATAGATTTGTTTTAGATGATGCTTATTAAGTAAAACCCGTGACTGATATAGAACGCCATTACTTTTTGATATTTTGCTGCCAATATAGGCAATATGTTTATTCCAGGTAATATTTTCGTCAATGAGAACGCCAAGAAATTTTGTGACTCTTTCGCGACTAAATTCTGTGTTTTCAATAACTAGTTTTGGAAAAGAATTAGGAACTTTTTTTTTTTAAAGGGTGGAATAACGAGAACTTTGTTTTATTTGAATTAATAGAAAGTTTATTTGCATTGAACCATAGTGAAATTTTATCTAACTCGTTGTTCATTTGAACGAAGAGTTGAAGTATATCTTTTCCTGAAATAAAAAAGTTACTGTCGTCAGCAAACATTATTGTTGATATATTTGACGCTCTCCAGAGATCATTCACGTATATTAGGAAAAGTAGGGGCCCAAGAATAGATACTTTGGGCACTCCACAAGAAATTAAAGATAAATTTGTAAGTTTTTTATTTCCGTAATATATGGACTGTCTACGTTTACTCAGGTAATCTGCTATCCACCTGCAGGATACGCCTCTTAGGCCGTATGTCATAAGCTTTTTTATCATTATTTTATGATCCACTGTGTCAGAGGCCTTGGAGAGGTCAATAAACACGCCTAAAGTAAATTCTCCGTTTGCAAAAGAGTTTTTTATTTCATTAATTAAGTGAACTATTGCATGTTCAGTTGAAGTGCTTTTCTGGAATCCAAACTGTTTTGAATAGAATAAGTCATTATCTTTAAAAAATGCATATAACCTATTGAACATAAATTGCTCAAAAATTTTAGAAAAAATGGAAAGTATAGATATTGGTCTATAGTTTCCAATATCCGTTTTATCGCCTGACTTATATATAGGTTTAACTTTGGCTGATTTAAGTATATCAGGAAAGATACCCTCATTCAGAAAACGCTTACAAATTTTAAATAAAGGCACTTTTAACTCATTATAACAGTCAATAACAATGTTGCTGTTTATACCATCAATTCCAGAAGATTTATTACGTTTCAAACTTTTAAAAGCTGTTTTGTATTTTTTAAAGATTAAATTCTCATTTTTAAATTGATTTTTATTGTAATGAAGGTATTCCTTAAATGATTTATTTACATTTAGAATTTTTGCCGCAAGTTTAGGTCCTATATTCACAAAAAAATTGTTAAATTCATTTGTTATTTCGTTTTCATTGGCAATAGTTTTATATTTAATATGTAAGATTTTTGGAAAGAAAGATTTATTGATTTTCGGTTTTCCAAATATTTCATTTAGTACTTGCCAAGTTTTCCTAGAATTTAATTGACACTTTCAAGTTGCTTTTTATAATAGTTTGATTTTGCAGTTCGTTTGATTTTCTCAAATAAAGTCTTGTAGTTTTTATATTCTGCCTTGGTCTTTTTTTTTTCTAGAGAAACTTTTTGAATAATATTCTGGAGATAATTTGAGAAATTTTCTGTGGACGCATTTGGGGGTTCGTAACAACAAGTTACTAAAATATTTTTGGTCTTATCATTAACTATTTCAATCGAAACAAATTCGCCGTTGCATTCAGATATGCACAAGTCATTTCGCATTTTAAACCGCAAGCTATTATTGACGTAAATAACAACACCACCACCTATTTTTTTAGACTTTTTTTAAGTCAAACCGACAACTTTCGCTAAATGCATTATCCCAAAAACAAAAAGATATCTAAAATGCATCTAATATGCATCTAAAAACTGGTCTAAAAGATGTCTAAATTCAGGTCGTGAATGGGACATAAATAGACGTCTATCTTATAGACGTCTTTTAGATGCATTTTATTCGACACAAATAATTGCCTTAGATGCATAATAAATGTGAAATATACATCTTACAGATGCATATTAGATGTATAAAATACGTCTCTTAAACAGATGTCTAAGGCGCGTTTAAAAAAGATAGATAATAGATAATTTTTTTAGCTAATAATAGCTCTTTTATGCATCTAATATACATTTAATATACATCTTTAAATGTATATTTCGCATCTTTTATGCATCTAAGGCATTTATTTGTGTCGAATAAAATGCATCTAAAAGACATCTATAAGATAGACATCTATTTATGTCCCGTTCACGACATGAATTTAGACGTCTTTTAGACCAGTTTTTAGATGCATATTAAATGCATTTTAGATATCTTTTTGTTTGCTGGGACTCGTTTGATACAAAGGTGTTATAGCGGTTAAATTAGTCATAAAAAAGGATTATATTAAATAAGTAAAAAAACATTTAACTTATATTACTTAATTTTTATTTCACAAAAATATACATAAGAAACTATATTTCTGCATTGCCTTCAACATCTTCTTCCACGTCGCCGATATTTAAAATATATTCATTAATGACATTTAAATGACTTTAAAAGACATGTAGAATTCTGAATCTATTTTTATGAAATATTATATATATATATATATTCTTTATATAAAAGTGCTGCATTTTTTCAATTTAGAGAAATAACTATGTAACTGTTTAGAGACAACGTTCTTTAAGTTTTATTCATCACAAAGTTCATTATTTGTACACGAAAATTAATAAATTAATCAAAAGTATTAAAAAAAGTTGATTTCCTTCTGGACAAAACAAGTGCAACTCCACAAAATGTTGACCATGCTGTATTTTGCTATCAATATTTTGTGGTGAATCCTTTGTTGTCGATCACAGCCTTGCATCTTCAAGGCATAGATTTGATCAGGTGATTAATGAAACTTTGTGGAATCGCTGCCTAGGCCTTTTAAATTTGTTCAAACAGTTGATCCTTATTACGAACACATTCATGATTAACTCTGCGGTTGACAATCTCCCACAGGTTCTCGATAGGGTTGAGATCCGGAGATTGAGGCGGCCAATCCATCACCAATAGATGGTTGTCTTGAAAGCACTGCTTGACTACTTTTGCAGTGTGTTTGGGATCGTTGTCTTGCTGAAAAACCCATTTTATTGGCATATTCCATTCAGCATGAGGTATCATATTATCTTTCAGGATAATTTTATACATGAAAGGATGCATTATTCCATCATTTCGATGTTTTGGACCAAGACAGTTAGCAGAAAAATACCCCCAGACCATTACAATGCATCCACCATGCTTCACGGTCTTATGGCAGTAACGTAAATCAAGGCGTTTTCCGGCCGCTAGACGTACACGGCAAATGCCATCGCTCCCAATGATTTTGAACTTCGATTAATTACTGAACATGACAGTTTGCCATTTCTGCACATTCCTTTGCTTCTGGTTCTTTAGTGAAATCAGCGGTTTATTTGCAGGGCGTCAAGAAAACAATCTGGCTTCAACAGCACGTTGTCTGATTGTTCGGTCAGATACAGGCAGCTCTAATTGCTTTTGTATCTTAACTGATGATATCCAGGGATCCTTCTTTTCAGATCTGACGATCATAGAATTCTCTCTAGAAGTGGTGGAACGAGGTCTTCTACCATTGTTATCTGCTGCCAACTTCCTTGTGGAACAATATTTGGAACATAGTCATGATACGGTCTATTTTTTCACGCGATATTTATCACAAATACTTTTTTGTGACATTCCACTTACATAATCGCCAATAATTTCCTTTCTTAGTTCCAATCCAAGACTGTCGGGAGCCATTTTTGCACTTGAAGTCATAAAAATAATAAAAATAAGTATTCACGCTTCTCAACTCTTACCGTGTTACATTTACCTTGTGATGATAAAATATTGCTCTGTGGAACATAACGTCTTGGTTGGATGTGGACTGTATTGATGTAATGAAACACTTGTTGTATTTCACTTCTTGTATTGATGTTCTTGGATAAAACACTTTGATAAAACTCACTTCGATAAACTGTCTTGATAATACTGACTGATTGACTTCCATATACTGACTGAATTACAATCTGTTCTGGAAGATTCTAGATGCTTCTTTTCAATACTTCTGGAAGCTGTTTTTCAATGTTTCTGGGTACTTCTCTATGCTTTCCAGATGCTGCTGGATGCTTCAAGATGCTTCTTCTGGAAACTTCTGGAAGCTTCTGCATGCTTCTGGAAACTTTTGGATACTTCCTTTAATTATTAAAAAACTTCTGTGACGTAGACTCCTGAACTGTTTGCTGTGGTTGTAAAGTTCGTTTCATTTTTAAGACATAAAATTAGGAACACTTTTTAGCATTGTTCGATGTTGGTTGCAAATGTTTTGTCCAATACTGTATATACACATATATACATGTATATACATATATATATATACATGCATATATATATATATATATATATATATATATATATATATATATATATATATATGCATATATATATATATATATATATATATATATATATATATATATATATATATATATATATATATATATATATATATATATATATATATATATATATATATATATATATATATATATATATATAAACAAGAAGATTTGTATCTCAACCAGATACAATAATAAACAACAACTGTTTTATGAAAAAACTAAAAAAACCTGTATTATGGATACAAAAATTCTAGCATGACACAAAAAGTCAAAGAATATCTTTTTAATACAGAAATCAATTTTGTAAATACTATTAAAACCATACCTCGTATATCACTCCATATATTTACTAGATTTTCTAAGCTTATCTTTTCCCCATTTCCTTTTCGATTTAATTTGGACTGTAACTGATTCGAAAATAACCTGATAAATATTTTAATAATAAACTGAAATATATTTATAAAGATTTTTATTTTAATATACGAATGTTTAATTATGAAAGGTATAAGCATTAAATTTGAAAATAAAATGCTAAACAAGGTTTAGCATTACACTTACTTTAGCACACAAACAAACTTAAAAAACTACAGTGAAGCTACCGAGTTTATCAAATTGTCATGTTAAAAGTAAATCCATAACAAATAATGGTCAAAATGAATTGCTTTTGGTCCCTTTTAATCATATTTCTAATAATTAATAAAAACATAATCATTTACCTTTTCATGATCGAAAAAACATGTTCTCTTGGCTTTCGGACACCAATCTTTTTCAAACTATCAAGCTGAAATAAATGTAATAAAAATTAGTGTAACTTAAATATCTTTACAAAATATTGAGTCTAACACAAGCTAGTTATTTTAATTCATTTACAAATACTTTTTATTTAGATTGTAAACTAATAAACCAAATTTAAACAAACTTGTTATACTTTTTTTGTAAATCTAATTTGGTATAATTAGATTATACCAAATTAGTATACTCGGTTTTATGTTTTAGTTTATTATCCAGTGTAACCACTTTGTCCACTGATTCTAGCAACTTCACCCCAGTAGCCTGAAACTTAATTTCTATAACTTCTATTAAAAGAGCTTTTATTTCAAATAATTAACTCAAATCTTTTTTACTCTAACAGAAATATTAAAGATCTGTTTAGAATTTTTAATGAAGAGTTATTAAAAATAAATGAATGGATTACGAATAATAAACTTTCATTAAATGTTGGGAAAACTAAATTTATGTTGTTCCACAAACCTAGTAAAGGTGATAACCTTTTTTTAAAACTACCTGATCTCTTTATGAACAAAAAAGTTATTAAAAGAGAGTCAACTATTAACTTTCTAGGAGTGATATTAGATGAAAATATATCATGGAAATATCATATTAGATCTATTGAAAATAAAATCTCCAAAAATATTTCAATGCTATATAAAGTTAAACCTTTTCTTAATACGGAATCTTTAAAAATTATTTATTTCTCATTTATTCATAGTTATCTTTCCTATTGTAATCTTGCATGGGCAAGTACCAATTATGGAAAGCTCAAAAAAACTTATAGCAAACAAAAACATGCTTGTAGGATTATTTTTGGCGTTAACAGAACTGTTAATGGTGAATCTCTTTTAAAGAAACTTAATGTGCCTAATATTTACAAACTTAATATATACCAAGTTATACTATTTACGTTTAAAACAAAACATGCGTTATCTCCTAATATATTTCAGTCTTACTTCACCGAAATATCTCATAAATATCCCACTAAATTTTCATCTGATAATTTTGTTATTCCAAGATCTTATTTAAAACTCAATTCATTTCAAATTCAATACTGGGGACCATTTATATGGAAAGGTTTTTTAAAAAATATAATTAAAAATAAAATTCTTCGAGGCATCTCCTTAGAACAATTCAAAAGAGAATCTAAACCTTTTCTATTAGAAAAAACTTTCGATTTTAAAGATTTCTTCTAAAATCACCTAAAATAATTAAACATGAAAAAGTCATCACTACTCATTTACTATTGTCTTGTGTATCTTGTTTATTTCTTATTAAAATAAAATATATATATACTATTAATTTTGAACAGACAAATAACATTTAATCGATTTATTACTTGTGTCTTATATCTGTCGAACTAATATTGTATTGTACTTCAATTTTTAACCTTTTAGTTTTTAACTTGTAACTTTGTGACGTTAATGTAAACGGGGCTTGGCGATAAGACAGTTTATGTCTTTTTCTTTTCCGGCCAATTTTTATACATGAATGGTTTTTTCTCATTGTAAATTTAATTATACGGCAAAGAAAATATAATAATAATAATAATTTCTGCAAGCTCCTTGAGAATAACATTTTGCACCTCTTCAAATAAGAATAAAAAGATTGATAAACATATTTAGCTCATAAAACCAAATAGCAAAATAATGAAATAACAACTTTAAAATTCAAATTATGCTTGAGTAACTCAAACTAAAATTCCAAAAACATATGTAAGTTTTTTTATTACTCCATTGCAGAAAATCAACTAAAACTTTATCTGTAGAATCAGACAAACGCAAAAGAGGCAGATTGGAAACCTAGAAAAAAATAATTTTGACTAAATAAACTACTTTGCAATAATAATCTAATAAAAAAATAATCCATTCAAGTTATAGGTAAACCCTCTGAAAATAAATTAAACATTCAAATTTTACAGAAACTCTTATTTAATTTTGACAAATAAGCAACAACAAATAATATTCAGATTTATGTTAAACCGTTACTGATAACAAGGGGTGTGGAGTTGTAAAAAAAACTCCGACTCCAGTTGTTGAAATTTCTTGAGCACAACTCCGACTCCAACTCCAACTTCGATTACAACTCCAAAGCAATATTTAAAAAAAATATTGCTTTGGAGTTGTAACTGAAGTTGGAGTTAGAAAAATTCTTCAAATTCTTTAAAAAATATTACGGGATAAGTTAAAAATTTCTTTTTTGACAAAATTATGAAAGGTTCTTTGAGGTTTAGTATGAACATAAGGTTAATTGAATGTTTTGTACATGCAAGTACAATACCGAAAAGTTTTACTATTGGAGTCGGAGTCGCAATTTTGTTTAGCGACTCCGCTGAAAAAAGCCTTTGTCTTTAAGTTTTAACCCCTCAAATTGAGGGGGTTTAAAACTTTATATGGTCATAATTTTTGAAAAATAAGAAATTATTGGATGAAATTTGAAATTTTTTATGTATATATACCCAGCAGGCACATATGTATATATATACCCAGCAGACACACAACGTTGTATTAACGTTTTATTTACTTTAGAATTTGTTAGTATAACGTTGCCGGTTCGGCAAAATGGAAAGGTTTTGTAACGTAAAATTCTTACGTTAGATTTACGTTAGATATTAACGTTATATTAACGTAAAATTAACCCTTATATAACCCTGAGCCAAAGCCCTTTATACGCGGCTTCGTGTCATGTTTATTATATGAATATAACCCTATATATTAACATTAAATGTTAAACAAAATTACAATCAATATTCAAAGTTAATATAAAGGTTTTTAACCCCTTAAAAAGGGTTAGAAAAATAGTTTTAGGGATATTCAAACTAAAAATACAATAAATGTTTTTAAAGATTTTTTTAAAGATGTATTATATGTAGGGTTGAAATTTTCCGTAAATTTTCTGGAAACTTTCCGGAAATTTTCCGGGAAAATTTGCTTAAAATTTCCGGAAATTTTGAATTTTTTTTTTTTTTCAATTTTTAATTTACTACTATGTATTAAAGAAATTGCAAAGAATTAAGCATCAAATCTCTTAAAAATGAGACAACTGTCATTTTTTTTTTGCTTAAATACATAAAAACTAAAAACCACAAGACGTTTTGGAGAAAATTTAAATTTTAAGTTTATTTAAAATTCCCAAGTCGTTTAAAATCTAATAAAAAAATAAATTTATTAAAAACATGCTACCTCTATAGGAACAACATCTTTTTTTATATATATACATCTTTCTTTAAGTGTTTAATAGGGTTGGAATTTTTTTACAAAAGCTTATTAATACCTGTAATATATACACAAAAACTGCATAAAATTGAATGCTGACAAAACCGAGTTCATACTTACCGGAAAAAAGCAAATTAAAAACCGCACAATATCGAACAAATAAAACTTCACGATAAATTAAGTCATCTAGGCTTTATATGGGACACCTTTCCTAAAATCTGGGCAGTAATCCAAACTTTAATTCAATCTGGAATCCGTTTTGTTCACCCAAATTCCTTTGTCCAGTTATATAAAACTTTGGTTGTTCCATTACCTTATGGTCTAAGCTTTGTAAACATAAAAAAATATTAATGCAAAAGCTTGATATAGTTGGAAGAAACGCACTGAAGTCACTCCTTAACGTTTTAAAACATTGCATAAATTTTATTCATCCCTTATTTTTTATTGAGTATGTATCAATACTTACACAACAAAACAAGCTAAACTTATTTATTCACCTGAAGAGCAATAAAATGACATTTAATATTGTAAAGTAGCAGCTGAAAAACAAAACAGCTTCAGAACCTTTTTTAGGTAGTGTCAAAGGTTTGTGCAATAGTCATGAACTAAATCTAGAGAAAATAATGCAAACTAAAAAAAAAAATCATTGACTTAATAGATGTAATTCCTGAAACGAATCTTCAAACTCTAAAATGAGCAGTTGAGTTCTGGAACTCAAAGGAACAAAAAAACAATCTTCAAGGACATTCTTGAAAAAAAAAATTTCTAGATGATCATGTTTGAATGAAAATCTTGATAAAAAAAAAAATAACTTTAAGATTTTTCATTTATCCTGAACTAAACTTTAATTTAGCTTACTTGTATAGTGGGTTTTTAACTAATAAATAAAAATAAAAAAATAATTATATATATATATTTTATTTAAACTCCCCAACTAGATTATTATAAAAAAATAGCATGTTTTTGCAAACGTTAATGCTTAGCCATTTTCATGGTATGTGAAAGTCAATACTACCTTCACTTGAATACTCACTATCGTATTCGTTATCATCATAATCATCATCATCATCATCATTATCGATTGATAAGCAGCTGTGAATTTTTTGGCTTTTTTCATCAATGTTTTTTGTTTTTAAACATGAATGTTTTACCTTTTTAGAATTACGTTTAGCCAATTTATTCTGCATTTTCAAATTATAAGCAATAAATAAAAGCTTTGATGCTCTTGTATTGGTTAGGCGATTTCTTACTTTAGATTTTTGCAATGAAAACTCTTTGTTTGCACGCTCAATAGATGCAATGCTGCAGTTACAAGACAATAATATTAATGCAATTCTATTCAATAATGTTGTTTGTGCATATGCTTTCCACCATGTGACTGGATTACGATCTTCATTAAACTTCCAAATATAGCTGCGATTATCCTGGCTTGATATTCCACTACGAGCTTTGAAACTCATTAATTCATCCAATATTATATCAGTGGCTAGTGTTTCATTTTCAGCTGTTCTGAATACATGCTGCTCAGCTAAAAGCATTTCTGAATGACTTAACTTTTGACCAACAAATCTTGGATCAAGTAAATTTGCTGCAAAGTGTATCGGTCTTACAACAAAGTCTTCACGCTTTTTAATGCAAGTAATGATATTCTCTTTTTGATGTAAAGTCAAAAGTGTTGAGTTTTGCAACACATCAGATATCTCAGTTATTATATAAAAAAAGACTTGTGGAACAACAGATACTGACGCTGCATCACTCTCTGATTCCAAAATGGGTTCTGATATAGGTTTCAGAAGTTTGAAAATAAAATCCGCCTATTTCC